ATATATATATATATTTGTGTGCTGAATACTGTGACCATAACACAAGTATTAATTCCGATGTGTTTGCTGATTAAAGTTGAATTTCAAGACAGTATGACATCATACCGTATTTAAATATCTATACTCAAAAGCCTTCAGCAAACTTTCAGTGGAATACAGTAAGGTATCGCAAGGGTTACGTTCTAGACACCCTGCGATAGGTGAAAATACGCAAAGTTGGGACGTTTTACAGTAGTCCCTCGTTTATCACGGGGGTTACATTCCTGACACCCCCGCAAAAGAGAAAAGAAATGCAAAGTAGGAATGCTATATTTATTTTAGTATTTGTATATATTTTAAGGCTTTATAAACCCTCCCCACACTTGCAATGTTCTAAACTCTTAAACCTACATAATTTTAATACTCACCAGCTCTGCAAAACAGCAGCTCTGTTCCGGTTCGGCTCTGTTTGGGAGACCTACCCTGCAGCGACAAAGCCCAGTGTGCTAAACTCTTAAAGAGACTGTACAGTAGCTACGTACTGCAAAATTTTACGTGGGTACTAACCAGCCTTGGTCTGGTTCTGGTCCAGTTCTGATTGGCTCTCTGCAGTCGTTGAGCACCAACACACTTGGAGAGGAGCGGATCTTCGGATAGCACGCACAAAATCACACAATGGTCCAGATCGAGTCCAAATAATCCAGAGGGATTTGATGGAAAAAAAAAATCCCAGTGAGCTCCAGAGAAAATACCGGACCTGAAAGCAACGCCTCCGCGCTCGAGAGGCCTCATGAGCCAGCAAGCAGCACTCTTAACCGATGAGGTTGGAAGCCCAGTTCTGATCAACTCTTGCAGCCGTTGAGCATCAAGATGCTTTTAGAGAGAGAGAGGCACACCTTCAGATAGCACGCACAAAATCACACAATGGTCCCGATTGAATTCAAATAATCCAGAGGGATGCAAATGAAAAAGTCCCCGGTGAGCTCCAGATAAAACACCAGACCTCCAAGCAACGCCTCCCTGCTCGATGAAGCTGGAAGTCCAGTTCTGGTCCAATTCCCAATCGGTTCCATATGGCTCTCTGCATCCACTGAGTGCTGAAGTCACTATAAATAAGGCCCAAAACGTTTTCGGATTGGATCAAAACCTTTTCTCTATTTCAGCAGAAAGCAATGACCGGAAACAAGGTTGGCTTCTGGGTAATGTAGTCCTTTTGATTGGCGATACAGTGTAGGCTTATTGAGAGAAAACTACAAAATGGTGGCACCTGTCCGGAGGTTTTTTTTTCCGTTAACTTTTTACTGTATCTCGTACTGTCCCAATCATGTGACTAATATTAAAAGTTGACAATAATGTGTTGTGTAATTTTTGTAAAATTTTGTCACGTACAATCTTACTTTGAAAAACCGTGAGAGCGAGTCCGCAAAACTCCAACCATAAAGTAACAAGGGACTACTGTATTTATTTTAGTATATATATATATATATATATACACTACATTGCCAAAAGTATTTGCTCACCCATCCAAATTATCAGAATCAGGTGTTCCAATCACTTCCATGGCCACAGGTGTATAAAATGAAGCACCTAGGCATGCAGACTGTTTTTACAAACATTTGTGAAATAATGGGTCGCTCTCAGGAGCTCAGTGAATTCCAGCGTGGAACTGATAGGATGCCACCTATGCAACAAATCCAGTCGTAAAATTTCCTCGCTCCTAACTATTCCACAGTAAACTGTCAGCTGTATTATAAGAAAACGGAAGTGTTTGTTAATGACAGCAACTCAGCCACAAAGTAGTAGGCCACGTAAACTAACGGAGAGGGGTCAGCGGATGCTGAAGTGCATAGTGCGAAGAAGTCGCTAACTTTCTTCAGAGTCACTCACTACAGTACAGACCTCCAAACTTCATGTGGCCTTTAGATTAGCTCAAGAACAGTGCACAGAGCGCTTCATGGAATGGGTTTCCATGGTCGAGCAGCTGTATCCAAGCCATACATCACCAAGTGCATTGCAAAGCGTTGGATGCAGTGGTGTAAAGCACGCTACCACTGGACTCTAGAGCAGTGGAGGCGCGTTTTCTGTAGTGACGAATGGCGCTTCTCCATCTGGCAATCTGATGGACGAGTCTGGGTTTGGCAGTTGCCAGGAGTACAGTATTTGTCTGACTGAATTGTGCCAACTGTAAAGTTTGGTGGAGGGGGGATTAAGGTGTGGGGTTGTTTTTCAGGAGCTGGGCTTGGCCCCTTAGTTCCAGTGAAAGGAAGGAACTCTTGACTAATTCAGCATGCCAAGACATTTTGGACAATTCCATGCTCCCAACTTTGTGGGAACAGTTTGGAACTGGCACTTTCCTCTTACAACATGACTGTGCACCAGTGCACAAAGGAAGGTCCATAAAGACATGGATGGCAGAGTCTGGTGTGGATGAACTTGACTGGCCAGCACAGAGTCCAGATCTCAACCCGACAGAACACCTTTGGGATTAATTAGAGCGGAGACTGAGAGCCAGGCCTTCTCATCCAACATCAGTATGTGACCTCACAAATGTGCTTCTGGAAGAATGGTCAAAAATCCCCATAAACACTCCTAAACCTTGTGGACAGCACTCCCAGAAGAGTTGAAGCTGTTCTAGCTGCAAAGGGTGGACCACCATCATATTGAACCCTGTGGATTAGGAATGGGACGTCACTTAAGCTCATATGTGAGTCAAGGCACGTGAGCGAATACTTTTGGCAAGGTAGTGTATATTTTAAGGCTTTATGACCCCAGATCTCTCTGTTAGAGTGATGAACATAGTTATAGTGAGTTGCTGGCGCTGCTGCTTCTTCACAAAAGAGCACAGCAAAAGAGAGCAGACAGATGCTATGGTTATTGAGCCAGTCAGCACCCAGGATACAGAGCAAAATGCTCTGCTTGTTTGTCTTCCATCAATCAGCCAATCATGTGTCGTGCACAATGTTACATTGAAAACTCGCGAAACAGTGAGTCTGCGAAAGTCGAACCGCATATTATCGAGGGACTACCGTAAACACTTCATGCTTCTCTGTATCCAATTTTTTATGATACAAGTATTTAGAATACAACTAAACTGTACCGTGTAACATCTATCTCAGGGCCTTGGGAGATACATGTAACCAGAATGTAAAAAAGAGCAAGAATAGCTTTTAATTGCCTCAGTCCAACCAAGGCTGCATTCACACTGCAGGCAAAACAAGCCCAAATCCAATTCTTTGTGTGACCCATAACAGACTTTTTTTATGATGTATGGATGTGGCAAATCCGCATTTTTAAATCAGAAGCATAGCCAATGTTTATCAAAGTGGCCTCAGTCTGGTAACATCACATTTCCTCCAACTTTTAGGCCGGTGAGGTAAGTGGATCTTGATTTGGTGAACTCCACATCTTCAGCTACGGAATAAAAGTCCAGTTGCTTCTCCTTTATATTTTTCCATGTCCTGGATGACCGAAAAGCAACAGCAACAACGCAGGCCTCATATCGTATCAATACTAGCATGATGGGATTGCAACTTTAGCTTGTTTGAGTACGTCGCTCCCTTTCCAGAAGTGCAATTCTGCGTTGAAGCAGCAGTGGGGGACAAAACAGGCATTTTGTCAGTTCTGACTGAATATCTTCAGAATCAATACACACAAGCTTACATAAGTAGCATCCTATTAATATGCATGTTGCATCGCTTCAGGGCCATGGACTGTTCACACTGAATTCTGATAACTGTCACATTTAAAATTATAACGTGAACGACCACGAAAAAAATAAATCAGAATTGAGCATTAAGACCTGCAGTGTGAACGTAGGTCAAAAGATGAACATAAAAATAGAAAGAAATATAAAAGACTGATTTGTTAGAAAAACAATTTTTTTAGACCCCTACAGTTTAAAAACACAATGGAAAAAAAATAAAAACCATTCAGCATTACGTTATGGTGTTGATTTTCATTTTCAGAAAAGTAAAATATTATAAATAAAAAGGTTCTACATTTTCATAAAGCGTCTTTTAAGTTTACTCTTGCATCATTAACAAGTAATTTTTTTTTTAAAGTGTCAAGTTATAGCTTGCCACTATTTAAAGACCTCCAAGTTATAAAAACTAACCAAATTTTGGTGTTTAAAGCTTGTGGAGCAAAAATCGGAAACAAATACTTTGTTCTTGTATCTGCGTTACATTTCACTTTAAAATCTCCATGGTTTGAGAAATATTAATTCTAGATAAGCTATAAAACATTCTTAAACAATCCCAAATATGGGTAAAACTGTCATGTATAACACTTTTTTTTTTCCATTCAACCTTTACTTAGACAGGTAAATCCCATTGAGGCAAAATAATGCAATAAACGTCTTAATCATAAAACCCAACTAAGGACGTTTTTGACAAGTTGATGTTGTGAACTTTTATTGTTTTTTCAACTACATGCTGACTGGGTAACATCATTACATGTATACAGTACATGAATTCACAAAAGTATAAAACAACAAAAACACAAATGGATGCTTAACCAGAAGAAACAAATTATGAATTACTAATATAAAGATAGTCATTAGGTGGGGAAAAAGAATTTCTTAAACTGATCTTAGCAAACAGACTAAAAACTGATAACTGTTGGGAAAACCGCCTCGACGTCTGCTTCACAATCAGAAAGATGCAGCTTGTTCACATTCTGGACACCTGTGGAGAACATTATGTCAATTTGGGTCAGATTTGTTCAAGTTGTCAACACAACAACAATTAGTTTTGTGCAAGAAATAGAAATCTTCTCCAGTAATTATTTTTTTGTGCTTGATCCCATCAATTCTACTTAAAAACAGTATAAAATTATCACAACTTTATTATAAAAATAAATGTAAGTTCATCCAAGCAAACAGTTTAAATTTTTTTTTTGCAAAATGTTCCATTATATGTCCTTGCACTTAACACACTGATCCACATATACGCTGGTATTTTTTAAGTCTGGTTAGTGAGACATAAGTCTAAAATTTGTCCAGCACAATGTCAATAAGAACAATTTTTTCAAAACTTTAAAGTTAATTTGTGTACAATCTGCAAATAAATAATTAGACTTCTAGTTTTATTTTTTTTTAAATCAGGCCAATTCCTATTAAAAGACAAGCTGTGTTAAACATGCTTCACTTCATTTTGTTTAGTTAAAACATACAAATCATTAACTGTTGTTTTAAAGACACATTGCAGAGAAGCAATGTACGTACCGTCTTTATAAACCAAAGCAAAGGTACAGATGATCTTCTTAGAAATACTTTGTTCGGTTGAGAGCTCTTTGTGCCAGCTGGCCGCTCTCATCTGTGATCTTTTCCCAGTCCGTTTGACCCACCACAAAACCAATCGCGCGCTTTCGCTCTGCATCTTTTTTCTCTTCCAGGTCAGCCCATCGAACCTGAACAAACCGGGGAAAAACAGGGTGTTGCATTACGAGCATGAAATGAAAGAATAAGCTTAAATTCAAATATTTTACAGCATGTGTTTATGCAAATTTTTTTTGCTACAGTATTTGAGCGTGTAGTGTCTAAATGTACCCGTTTCTTTCCGGGTTCAGACGTGCGTGTGGCGTAGTCGTCAGGCAGCTGGAAGAAGTCCTCTAAGCCTGACAGGTGGTCACCTTCACGTTTCCTCTTCCCGCCAATCATCAGACCGTCCAACTTGTCTTCATAAAAGAAAGATTATTGTTCAGGCCTTTTGTGCCATCATATAAAATTAAATAAAGAACACTCTCTTGATCTCAGTATCTGTCCTGTCTCTTTTAGCAGTACTCTTAAATTATGCAGCACCAGAACTTTTGTCTTCAAATGTTGGGGGATGTTTTTAGGTGCAATCAGAGCGTTTACACAGAAACAGAAAGCCAAAGGTAATCAGCACACAACTCACCAACAGGACAATTTTTTTAGCTTTTATACCACCAATATTAAACAGTGCATAATGATTAGGGCTGGGCAATATGTTAAATTAAGTTTAGATCTCCGACGTCCTCCGATAACCTAAAATGTTTCTACAGTGAAGAAACTTCACACGAGCTCAGCCAGCTGACAGTCATCTTAATTAAAAACAATTACTGAACACAATTAAAACGATCCACTTGAGTTGTAAGTAGCAGGCTTTAGGACACATAGCATTTAGGAAAACATTAGGTTAAATTTCCAACTACCGTAATTGCCGGTGTACAAGCCGCAATTTTTTTCTCACACTTTGTACCCTGCGGTTTATATGAAGGAGTGGCAATTTTTTTTTTTCTCTTAATAATTTATATTTTATTTTGACAGACTTCCTGCTACTGAATAACATTTTCCTGTGACAGAGCTGGGTGCTCATGTGGCTGCCCAGCGCCCACTCCTCTTGGGGGCAGGCTTCAGATTGTACAGGATTTCAAATTTCCTACCATAACTCCACTCACTCTGTCATCATGTGACCAGAAGTCTAACCATAATGACCAGTGAGGTATACTCTCGAGGACCCAATCCCCCAAGATAGACGCTGCACTTCACGCACAGACCGTGTTCATCTGCAGCGATAATAGAAAACGCGCAGAGAATTTCTTATGATGCAGCTTTCAAGTTGAACGCGATCGATCTGGCTGTCGAAGGAGGAAACAGCTTTCTGCCAAGAGCGACACGGAGTCAGTGTGTGATGACATTTTTCTGAGCCTTCAAGAGGACTTTAGTTCACAGGAGGACAAAGAACATAGCGATGAGTGACTTTTGGATGACTACCGGTATCTTTTTTTTTTTTAAGCTGTGTTAAAGGTATTTTTCAGAAAAAAACATTTACCGGATGTTCCTCTTCTCCTGGGTCACGACGTGGTCTCCGCCGATGAGAAGTCATCAAAATTTATTAAGTATGCACGATATTATCGGCATGGCATAGGCCGATATTAGCGATAAAGTTAAATATCGGACATCGGCCATTCCATCAAAATAACTCACTGATATAAAAGACACTGTTTTTTGTATGACAACCCAGTGACAAGGACGCCTGCAGCGCCAGCACATTACGTCACGTGCTCCTACCTACGTCATGAATAAAACTGACATTAAACATAATCCAAGTTGAAGTGTTGCATCATTTTCAGCTCCCTTTTTGGCATCTGCATATGGTAGCAGGCCAAACTGACAAAGAGCATGCAGAATAATCTAGTATTTTAATTCCACAGCAGCGAAAGCCATGTAGTCTCTGTAAGTAGGTCTAGGAAAAAAAACAAACATGTATTGGTATCGGTTATCGGCCAAATAAATTTTAACATATCGGCATATTGGATATCAACCAAAAATCCAATATCGTGCATCGCTAAATTTATTTTTAAAGCAGTCAAGTCTGGTATATATTTTAATTAAAGTTTTAAAATTATCTGAGACATCTTTCTGTGTACTGTACATGTGTTTAAATACCAATATCTCATTTAAGCTAATCCGAACGCATGAAACCGAGTGGAGGAGACAACGAGAGGGAGGGGCTCTTCCCCCTTCTTCCTCCATCGGGCTCTGCTTAGCAGAAATCACGCCAAATGTATTTAGAAAGTAAAAACAGCTGCCGTTACCAAAAGTGTTTAACAATAAAAACCTAATGGTAATGGTACTAATTTAATGAATAATTGCCGCATTTTACCGGTACCATCTATGTGACTCCTGGTCACATGACCTCGCTAAGACTTCTGGGTAAAATTGACCGCTATATAATTTTTAAATAATTTCGGTTACGTAGGTGTTTGGCACTGTTCTGTCCAGTGATTATGCTTAGACAGTTCTTGTGTTCATTTTGTAAGTTGAATGGTTTTAACCACGAGTCAGATAGCGAAGCATCATGAAGACTTATGACGATCGCAGTCTGAATGTTTGTTGAAAGTAAGCCATAGTTTCTATGAAACGCCATCCGGTGGCTGATTCTTGTACTACAACAACAGCTGCTCATAATGCCAGGAGCAGCGCACTGGTTGTGAAAATGAACGGTGGATACCCGCGGCTTAATAACCGGAGCGTATTATTTATGTACAAAATAATGATTTATCTTAAATTTAGTATGCGCGGCTTAGAGTCAGGTGCATTCTATAGCCCGAGAATTACGGTATATTGCCCAACCCTAGTTACAACATATAAAATAAAACCAATGTTTTTCATTTAGATTTGAAAAGCATTGTATGAATGCTCATCTCTAAACCACCAACTGTTAAAAAATAAAGACCTGCAGGAAAGAGTACCTACCAAGTTTGGCTTCAGACGTGTCCATCTCCCATTTGCTTTTTGGAATATAGCCCTACGTTAAAGAAACACTGCAGTGGTTAAAAGTCTGGGTGATGCAGGGGTAAGGGGAGAGAAAAGAGCAGGGAGAGGGGGCTGGCTGGAAAGAGAGGAGACTGGATGATCAGACGTTAAGACATTCAACAAGCACAACTGGAATGAAACGGCACAGGTTGCTTAAATTACAAAATTTTGCTAACACCAGCATGCAATTAAGCTGTGAAAAAAAAAAGGATTACGTTTAAATACTAGGCTTTAATACGTGACTAATTACAAAAAAAAAAAAAAAAATCTGACAAACGGCAACAGAAAAACTATTCTTCACTGCTTTTTTTTCCAGTAAGCTAATTATCATGCTACAACTCATTTTGTGCATTTCTCTAAAGTTTAGGAAACTAAGACCTAACTTTACAGCTAGGATTGTGCTTGTGTTTTATAAATGTTGCTGACACACACATTTTTGTTTCAGGGTTGTGTGAAAAATAGAAAACAATTAAAAGTAATAGCTTTATTTTTGATATGGACATAAAGAAGTACCTACTTTACAGTTAAGATGAGGATTAAATAAATGTTTAAACTTCAATCTAAACGGATGAGAATAAATTATTTCTATACATGATAAAAGTAGTAAAGCAGTTTTGACTTCAAGATGTTTTCTTGTCTGAACTGACAGGTTTGAAGTATAATTGTATCAATAGTGGTGATCCAGGTTGTTAAAGAGTTGTCATATACAGAATAGGATGAGCATGTCTGTTATGTACAACTATTATGTTTAACACAAACAAGAAACAAAAAAAATCTGTTACACACAGCAGAGTATGGCAGCTGCTGTATTTTAACAGTTACTGCTGAGATCTGCGTGTGTTACAGCTCCTGGAACGCAGCAGCCAGTAAAGATGATTGTGATTCCAGGCAAACAAACGGACTCTAAAAGTGTCTCAGGAGCAAAAACGCAGTAGATGGGCAGGTCAAGTAGCCAGATACAAGTCTACTGGAGCCAACCAGCAGTAAGTTCATTTGTCAGAGAATTTTTAACATTCTTCCTGAAGTTACAAAACAGAAAGTGGTGGTATTCCACCATAACAAGATTATTAAAGACTAGAAATAGATTCATTTCTCAAAATGAAATCCGCACAGTATATGTAAAAACATAACAGAAGCTCAGCTTCTGTGGACATCCAAACAAAACCATCTTGGAGACCAGATGTTGGGTTTTCATTGGTGGAAATGATGATAAAGGAATGGTTTTCACCACAGTATGAGAGGATAAAGATGGATATTTGTAACATGTTTTGCTTCAAATCCTCTATCCTTGTTGCCTCTATCTAAACAGATTACAGATTATACATTTCGTACAAAACGCCATGGACCGGTACACCAACAGATGCTTTTTCTTTTAATGAATTAAAGGTATAGTCCAGTAAACTCTGAAGTGAACAGCTAATAGTTATTCATAGTTAGTACCTTATCATTTATGACATCAGTTGCAGAGCAAGGAGTACAGAGAAATAGGCAAATATCTTTGTCCAGGCTGGACTATCACATCAAAACAAAACAGAGACTTTCAAAAGTGTTTGAGCATTTTACTCAAAAACTAAAAGCTGAAGGCAGATTGTGCAAAGCAGAGCTTTTTTTTTTAAATCTTCATAGCAGCACCATTGCAATGCAATCTTCCTCCTGGAGAGGAGACAGCAGATTTAAGCAACATCAAAGTTCATGCTCCATAATCCAGGTAAAAAAATCCAACAACGTTCAATCAGGTCATCTGGACGATGACTTTTTTCCCCTTTTTTTGAGACTTTTCGTCCTTCAGTCTGAGGAGCCACAACAAACTTTGTCCCACAAGCAGCACTCTCACATCAAGATCCAGATCAATTGGGACAAGTCTCTAAGACAGGTCCATTCAAGATTCAGGCGGCATTCAACGCAGGAACTGAGGTCCAAGTCCTCCCTTTTACAAAGCTGGGAGACTAAAGAATTTTGTTTCAGGATGACCAGTAACTTGGTCCTTGACTCCCACGTGGCAATGCTTGCTGATCCTTCCAGCAACGCCAAAATGTTGAGGAATTTTACCAGTTTGCTGGTGATAAGATGGTTTCTGGGGCACGCCCTCTCCCAGTGGCAATTGGGAATGGCAATGACAATGGCAAGACCTTTGGATGAAGGACGAAAAGTCTTAACAAAAAAAACAAACAAAAAAAACCTGTCCCATCACCTGACTGAATTTTGTTGGATTTAAAAAAAAACGGATTATTGAGCATGAACTTTGATGTTTTGAACCACTTTGGCTATGGCTGCCTCAGAGGAGTCGATGGGGGAGAGGGAGGGACGCAGAAAACATCTTATCACCAGCAAACTGGTTGGCCCACTATGCGAGTGTGCTGTCTGTGGGACTGAGTTTGTTGTGGCTCTTCAGATAGATGAAGTCCTTTGGATGGACGATGAAACGTCTCAAAAAAAAAAAAAAGTATCCAGATGACCTGACTAAACTTTGTTGGGGCAGGTTTAAGAAAGTAAAATAAAAAAATCTTTAGAGCACTGTGATGGACTTGTGACCTGTCCAGAGTGTCCCCCGCCTCTCGTACAGTGACTGCTGGACATGGGCAGCAGTGATCCCCATGACCCAGAAAGGAAGACGCAGGTAAAGATAATGGATGGATAGATGGAATCTTAAAGCGTTCCGTTGCCTCCTTTGTAAGCAATGTTCTACAGCAACGTTTGAGTCAGTTTAAACAGGCGTTGTTTAGTTTAGTTTGCAGACAGGACCTGTTTGAAGCAGTATACGAGAGTGGTGGGAGGAGTTTCTGCCGTATGTTTCATCAGCACGTCCGGTACTAAAAATTGATAACCATTAGTCAGAATATCAATTCCACTTCAAAGATTACTGGACTATCACTTTCAAGCCAAACACAGGAGTTTAATTTATGTTACAGTGTATGACATGCATCTCCATGATAAATATGGGAATTTGAGGTGGAGAGAAAAAAAAAACTGGTTCCTTAAATTGCAGAGGTTAAAACATAAACCTTGACTTTAAAGTTTTACATTTTTATTTTATGTCAGTGACATTACTATGCCAAGATAAGCAACAGCATTGCAGGAACTATGAACCGATACAGCGAGACAAAGAAAAGTTTCCATTTCAAATTCTTATAAATTCTATAAAGAACCCATGAAGTTCTTTATAGATTTAATGACTTCAACTACAAAGTACATTTGCATGACCACAAACAACCCAAGTTATGAAGGCAATTGTGGCACTAAAGAAACAAAAATTTTGGCAGTGATGGAAACTGCATGGTTGGGTTAACCTGTCCACATATTGGAGAACTACAAGTTATGATGTTTCATTGGTGTGTGGTGTTTTACATAAATGTCTCACTTCAACTTTAACCACTCGCAGTTTATCTTCATTTAGCACTTTATCATGACTGCTAAAAACTGTCAACCAAAAGTACTTTTTTCTTCCTCCAAAATGAAATTTTAATGAATCTTATTGGCGTCATCTTCAAGTTCAAAATGTGCATCAGGTGTGGACAGTCCACTAGTTCCTGTAATCAAAATGTCCTCATACCAACGATGGCAAAGGAAAACAAAATTGTTAATTATAATTAATAAATACACAATGACTCTTCAGAATTTGTTCAAAGTTTCATCCAGTTTGAGTTCCAACAGAATCTTTTAGATGAGCCGTTTCTTGTTTGAGTTTTTTGTCTTTTATATTATACTTGTGGTTTTTATTGTTTGATCTTTTATTCATTTTATTGCTAGACTTCCTGTTTGTGAAGCACTTTGGTCAACATAGTTGTTTTTAAAAGTGCTATTTAAATAAAATTGACATCAGCATTGAATGTTTATCTTTAAAAGTTGAACAGGTAAACGTACCAGTCTTGCAAATTATTTTAACCGTATCAAATCCATTTAAAGGAATAAAGAAGAGAAATTGTTATTTTACATGGCGACAGCAATAGCTGTTATGACTGCAACATTTATTGAATGACATTTTTATTTGAAGTCACACACTTCCAACAAATGTATTCCCAGTATTTTACTTTTTTTGTAAAATACTGGGAAAAAAATACTGGTATTTTTTTTTATTATCAAGCTGAGATACATCACCTGGTGCAGGGTTACATGTTCCTTTAGATCCAATTTGACAAAAAAATTGTTTTGTAGAAAAACAAATCTTTTCTCTCTAAGATAATCCATGAGAAGACCTGCAATCCTAACACTGAAAATGCTTAAAAATATTTTTTCCTTCTTTTGTTTTTCCTCTGACTTGCTCTTGACGAAGACGGACACTTTATTTCCCTCTCCTGCCTCACTCCTGCTATTGCTCTTGTCCTGTGAATCTGTCTCAGAGCCTCTCTTTATGCATCTTCCAATACATAAATTATTATGGATCAGCTGGTCTCTCAATGCAATTAGTCCTGACACGATAAACAAATAAATTAATTGCATGATAAATGAAAATTATCAACCTAATTTTCATTTATCGGCTTTATCGTTTCTTCATCTCTCTTTCGACGACACTGGATGACAAGGCTCAACTCCAGTGCTCGTCACTGAACCCCCTCTCTTTAAAATCTGTTTTAACTGCCCAAAATCACATTTTTGGATTGTTAAAACCAGCTAAGCTAAGCTATGAGCTAAGCTAACAGTCCGACCTGGGGGAAAAAAAACCTCTGTCTTGTCAAAACTCCAAAATTCACGGTTGAAACCCGTGCCTTCGTGTAAAAAGTTGTTTTTCTCTGCAAAAAGAAGCAGAGAACTTGTTTACTGATTTTTTAAATTAAAAGCTTTGTGTGACAAATGCTATGTTAAAGAGCTCAAACCAAACTGAGCGTCCGCCATATTGAGAACCGAAAAACAGGAACAAGAGACAGCCCATGTCATGTCAAGGGCCCTCCCTCCCATTTTTCTTAAAGGGACACACTGCTTGCTCCTTCACAATCCATTCTTTGGTTCAAACAGTCTTATACTGTCATCCAGTGGTCAAAAATGGTACTACACACA